ATGCCCAGCTATTTTTTTGTTGCAGTTTGGCCAGGGCTGGGTTTGAACCCACCACCCTCTGTATATGGGGCCTGCGCCCTACCAACTGAGCCACAGATGCCTGTTCTTATAACATGTCATTGTTTATATATTGATTTCATATTAGTATGGAGTACACTGGATATGAATTTTTCCATTCTTGCGATACTTTACTAAGAAGAATGTATTTCAACTCCATCCAGTTAAATGTAAAAGATGTAACCTCTCCATCTTTTTTAATGGCTGAATAATATTCCATGGTATACATATACCACAGTTTGTTGATCCATTCATGGGTTGATGGGCACTTAGGTGGCTTCCACAACTTGGCAATTATGAGTTGAGCTGTGATAAACATTCTAGTGCAAATGTCTTTGTGGTAAAATGATTTTTGTTCTTCTGGGTAGATACCTATTAATGGGATTGCAGGGTCAAATGGAAGGTCTACTTTTAGATCTTTGAGGATTCCCCATACTTCTCTCCAAAAGGGCTATGTTAGTTTGCAATCCCACCAGCAGTGTAGAAGTGTTCTCTTCTTTCCACATCTATACTAGCATCTGGTGTTTTGTGACTTTGTGATGTGGGCTCATCTTGCTGGGGTTAGGTGATGTCTTAGAGTGGTTTTGATTTGCATCTCTCTGATGATTAAAAATGATGAGCATTTTTTCATGTGTTTGTTGGCCATTTGTCTGTCATCCTCTGAGAAGTTCCTGTTCAAATCTCTTGCCTACTTATAGAGAGGGTTGGTTGCACTTTTCTTATTGTTTAATTTGAGTTCTCTGTAGATTGTAGTTTTCAGGCCTTTATCAGATTCATAATATGCAAAAATCTTCTCTCATTCTGAGGGTTGTCTGTTTGTGGTACTTTTAGCTGTGCAAAAGCTTTTTAGCTCAATCAAGTCCCTATTATTTATTCTTGGTGTTGCCGCAGTTGCTAGGAGGGTCTTCCTTATAAAGTTTTTCCTCAGGCCAATATGTTCAAGTATTTTCCCCATACTCTCTTCTAGAATTTTTATTGTTTTGTGTCTTAAATTTAAATCTTTTATCCAATAAGAATCAATTTTTATCAATGGTGAGGGATGTGGGTCCAGTTTGTCTTCTGCATGTGGATAACCAGTCGTCCCAGTACCATTTGTTAAGTAAGGATTCTTTTCCCCATTGCATGTTTCTGTTAGACTTGTCAAAGATTAAATGACAGTATGTGGCTGGGTTTATTACTAGATTCTCTATCCTATTCCATAGATCTATGTCTCTATTTTTGTGCCAGTACCATGCCATTTTGATCACTATAGCTTTGTAATGTAAACTAAAGTCTGGCAACATGATGCCTCCAGATTTGCTTTTATTTCTAAGAATTATATTTTCTATTTGAGGTGTTTTCTGATTCCATATGAATCAAAGTACCATTTTTTCAAGATCTTTAAAGTATGTCATTGGTGCTTTGATGGGGATTGCATTAAATCTATAGATTGCTTTGGGTAGTATGGATATTTTAATGATGTTGATTCTTCCTAGCCAAGAGCATGGTATGTTCTTCCGTTT